TGCATCTGATACAGCATTCATTCTTCAGCTCAATCTTATATATAAAACATTAGTTTGAATGTCTGCTGAGGAAAGCGATATCTTTGTCATACTCTCCTTTCATCTGTTAAGGGTGATTTCTGATGACAGCGCTGCTCACTGCATTTGCTAACTGTGTCTAACAAGCTGTTGTTTAAAGTAAAAATAAACTTCCGTTTCAGTCTCTTTCAATGTAAGTCTTTACTGCTGACTCGTAAAACAGTCTCTTGTCGCCATCTAATGGCGTAACAATGTCACTAAAATCACCATCACACACACACACACACACCAAATACTACTATTATGTATAAAATATTATTTAATGAATAATAAACAACAACAACAACCACCATCATAAAAGTTGCTAGACAATTCAGTCAAAAGTACAAAGGCAGCGCTCTAATATACAGCATTAAAGTTATATCAAACATAAAGTTATTAGCTTTAGCCAAATCTATTTGCTCTGGAACAAATAATAGATTAATGAGACCAAAGACTCTCAGTTAGATTTACCCAAAGTGAATTATATCTCATGTTTAACCACTGTAGAGACATCAGAGCCAGCGGCAAATTCCAGAAGGCCTGGCCGATGTGAGGCTGCTCTCGGTGGGTTCATGGGCGTTGAATGGCCCTGGAGCTCACATCTCCTAAAATGTATATATATATATATATATATATATTATTCAATGTCAGTCTTTTACAATAATAAAATCTTCAAAAACATTCAGTAAAAGTTTTAGGACGTGACAGGAGCAGCAAGAGCAGCCATGGAATCTGTGGGAAGAAAACTGCTTATCAGTACTGTAGGCTGTTCCAGTTAATCATAAAATAACTTATGTTCATCATGAATTATCTTATAGCCTATTCATGTTTGAAAAGTTGCATCAAAAACAGCTTTACCTCGTGCCATCTTGTCTGTCAGACATTTAAGTTTCAACCCGTCAAATGCATAGCGCGACCACAGCTGCAACAATGGCGCACTAGATTAATAGCGCCCCTGTTGTAGTCAGT